ATACTCATTATATTTATGACTGCCAATGTATTAGATTGTCAGTAAATAGAATACTTTTAAATTTTAGTATTTTTATTTTAGTTAAAGAAAGTTCGTTTACGTACCACTTTTGCTTCAATGGACACTTCTTCATCAAGTGTGAAGCTATCCTGCTGTGAGCATTACGGTAATGTACTCAATGAATATTCAGACAATGAACTAAAAGCTGTAAGCATGTACATACACTAGACATTGCAATTTCTAATGTTTGTCTATTACATTATTATACATTTCCTTTTTGATTATTAATCATTATATTACCGTATAGAATGAAATTTTGGAGGTAGCTAAATTTGGCAAATTTGGTGTCTTGATATCCATTCACCAAAATAAAAACCTGCCATTTTGAGCCATTATGCGCATGCTCAATAGCACGTGGCCACATTTTGCCAAATTAAAAATCGCCAATCGCCAAAATTTAGCCATTCACCAAATTTAACTCCCTCCAAAACTTCCTGCTATGCAGTAGTTACTTCTCTCCCTTCACTACAGATTCTTGATGTTGCTACTCATCGTAAGCTTTACCTTCAATCAACAATGATAACACACTATAAGGAAGTAAGTGGGTGACACTAAAATAACTATTACCATTAAATACTGTTTTATCTCTACTATTAAATATAGGTGCAAGTCCATGGGCCTGTCTCTCTCTCAGAGAACATTGATTGTATTGTTGTTAATGCTAGATACAGAGGCAATAAGACCATAGAGAGCTTACTGGATAAATTCATTGAGAAAAATAACTGTAATTTAATATGGATGAGCTCCGATGAGTCTTCTACGGTAGGACCAACTCATTCTTTAGCTTCAACTGCTGTCCATTATGTTCCTCATTCTGAAGACTATTATGATGGGACTACTCGTGATTATGAGGAGGAGGATGAGTATGGATCTGATGAATATGATAGTGACTATGAAGACTATTATGATGATTATGATGACTATTATTGAACTGGAGCCTGGAGGCACACTTATTTTACATAAAATACATTTTATTTTGAATTTAGCACTTATAGTAAAGCAAGAAGCAGATTTTTGACACTCTGGCTAGCACCTTGAGGTGTAAACTTGCTAAAGTAATGTGCTAACAGGAAGCGGCACGCCCACGCTTTGGTTCACAGGTGTGGCTGATTATTTATTGTGTGCAACCCACGATGAACTTTTCCTACTGCATGCTTTATAAAGGTAGCGCTGACACTATATCCAGCGTCTGCATTCCTTAATATGATGGATAACAGTTCAAATTTTTGAATAGGGGAGTAGTTGAGATTCTGAAACCCTTGCTCAGTTAATGATAAACCATGACACCATTCATGTACACACTCAGTAATATAATTCAAGGCTGCATGCATTGTATTGGAGCAGCTAGTGGTTATATCTAACGATGCCCACATCTAGATCAGTCATTTGCCCTCTCACAGTCTCACTTGGTATAAATCTAGCTAGTTGTTATGACCGAGAGTTCAAGCAGCTCTACAGGGTATCAACTCTTCCTTTAAGTTCTGAGAGGAGCTCCTTCAAGCAGGGGTAAGATCATACTTTAACTCTAATAAATGTAATAATTGATTTTAATTGAATTTAAATTAAAACTCAAAATATTATGATACCATAAAGGATGTAACTAGTCTAGTAACTACAAAAACTAAATTTGTGTAAAAATTATAAGCTATGCATGACACTTCATTGGCAATGAAATTGGGAATAATAAGTTTTACTATTAATTACAGTCTTTCAGCACCTGAGTCAACAAGACTTACATTGAAGTGCTCAAAGTTTTATTGTCCTGTGTTGATTCCTTCAATTCTTTAGGTGAGTTACTTGGGCCAGGTTTTGATTTTTTGTACAAGTAATATTGATAAAGAAAGTATAACCAGCTACTTATTCCAATGACTAGTATAACCAATGAAAATGCTAATGAAATTGTTAAAAATGCTACTCTAAGCTTATAGTTAGCCCTTGTATGCGTCATGATGTTGAAAGGTGATGTGCAGTCTAGTGGTAATTCATTGTCAGCAACAAAGAAAAGCCCATTGCTTATTATTGCTAACACTGCTATAATAGATAAAAAAATAATATATAGCCAGCCCTTGGGATTTTTATTCCTTTTTTCACCTTTTTTAAATGCTTCAGAGACTCTATATATAATTTCTAACATAACAATGAACATTATTCCGCCATACATTACCCACAGCACGTTATATTTCCTTGTACGACACATATTGGTTGTTAGACTAACGAGATTATAGAGAATGGTATAGGTTGTATCAACCTCTGGAACAACAGCCATGGTTAATATTACTGCATAGAACAATGATTCGTAAAATTGTACTTCATTTGGTGAATTATTGTTTTTGTCAGGAGAGCAGGTATCATTTGTCTTGCATATGCGCATACATATAGCTTCTTTAACACTTTTTCCACATTTTACTAAATGTGGAATAATTTCGAATCCTAACTTTGCACCAATGAGTATTAGAATTGATATTACAGTTAGATCTACTTCTTCGCTATCATTACTAGTTTCAGCATCATTCATGATAGTCATGTTATCTCCCACAAAGTATGCAACAGATACACCAGCAGCCAGGACAACGTCCAAAATAAACCAGAGTATTTGTTCAAAAACTTTACATTTGTTACGAGAAGCCATACCAAAGACTACCATTGTTGCTACAGAAAAACCGAGAACAAGTCCACCATATCCCAGAAAGACAATATATGTGAACATTTGACTGCTTTCAGTGAACTCTCCTGTTTCCAGCAATGCCCCATACGCGATTAGTGTAGCTAAAATATTAAAAGGCAATATTAGTGCTTTTACCGAAGCTTGTATAACCTCTTGTTTCATTTCATAAATTTCCTATTGAAGAAATTATTATATCATTATGATTATTTTTCAGTGTACTATGCTTACTATATCTTGATCAGCTTGTACTCCAGCTTCACAGCTCATCTCTTGCTTGAAATTTAACAATAGTCAACTCAAATAGAACAACACTATTAACTATAAGTTGCTATTAAGATAAATTGCTGTGTTGCTGTGTTGCAATAGTAATGTTTACTGCCTCTCTAATGTGGGTGGGTGGGTTTGCTAATATTCAATATATTGATCAATATTAATTATGTGTATAGTCAATGGTGATGCCTTAGGCAATTATGAATAAAGTTGGTGTATCAACTTTTCACAGGAAATATAATATTCATAGTGGGTGGAATCTTTAATGATATTCATAATTGTGTTTGTGCACTAATGAAAGAGTATGACCACTAATTATAATTAATGATAGTCTTTAATGAGCTTAGTGAGAATCTTTTACTTTATTATTGTAACAGTCAATATTAAGTGATGAATCATTATGATTACCATTTTTGACGATTGCCAAAAAATGATGCATAAATAAAGCTGTGATGCATAGATCTACAGAAATTCAATTTTTTATCAACAACTAAATTGTGATGTTTGGAATCAATGAGTTGATGTGATGTGAAGTAAATCCCATTCTATTGTTTTCTCTATTGAACATTAGATCCAGTTAGATTAGACTAGATTAAATTAATTAGAGCAAGCTAGGGTATGTAATACTGTGTGTGTGTGTGAGTGGGTGGCAGTATAAGTATTACAGTACCGTTACTGTTGTATTGTAGCAATAGTCATGGGGGACCAAGGTTTTCGAAGTCTCTATTCATTCTTGAGTGAATTACTTGAGTAGAACATTTTAGGAAGGAAAGCATGAAATTATTATTACAAAAAATGGCTCTGAAATTACCCCAATTTTATTACGGTTTCTGATACATATTGATGTACTTAAGCTATGTACAAAGTTTGAGGTATTTGTGACAAAAAAAAGTTTTCCCCCTCCAAAATTACCTGCTATAAAGTATACGTGTAGGAGCCTCTCTAATGTATTTCTACTATGTATAGTTGATATTATTTACAGTGTGGGCGATTCTTGTTACATTAATAAGCAACATACTATATTATGGGAAATTGCGGAGGGACTGAACTAAATTTGGTGAATTTGGCATTTTGATAGCCATTTGCCAAATTAAAACCCACAACTTTGTACCAGTATGTGCATGCTCAATGGCACATGGCCACAAATTTGCTAAATTAGAACCCGCTAATTACCAAAATTTTAGCAATTTGCCAAAATTTTTAATTACCTG